TCATGTGAGGTATTTTCAGTTTAAATTCTTTCTAAATGAACCATCCATCCATCATCAAGTTCTCTAGATCATCCTATATAATGTCTCTGAAAACTGCCTTTTCCCACTCATTCTCAAAGCCACTGCCTTAGTACAATGCCACTTCCTCACTATCTGAATAATGGCAAAAGCTCCCTAACTAGGCTCTGTTCCACTATTACATACACTTTCTAATTCACCATCTGTTGCCAGAATGTCTATGCTGATGAAAACTTCAATTTATAAAACATACTTTTGCCAGAGCACCTTCAAATATACTTCCTTGGATATATCTATCTGATGATGCTATCATTTCTTTAATAGCTTTAATAACTCCAACCTTTGCTTTAGCTTTTTTCTCTCATCTGATATTTGTCTGTAAGATAAAATATAATGTCTTTAACATGTCATTCAAAGCCCTTATGACTTTGATCCTGCATGCCTTACCTTCCAGCACTAGAACCCCACCTATACCCACCTGTATTTATTTCCTGGAGCTGCTGTAACAAAGTACCATAAACTGACTGGATTAAAGCAGAAATATATTGTTTCAGAGACCTGGAAGCCAGAAGTGTGAAATCAAAGTGTCGCTAAGGACACACTCGTTCTGAAGATGCTTAGGAAAGCTTCCTCTTTGTCTCTTCTAGTTTCTGGTAACCCCAGAGGTTCCTTGGCTTATGACTGCATAACTCCAATCTCTGCCTGCCTTCACATGTTTTGTCTCTTCATATCATTTCCCCTCTGCCAGTCATACTAAATTAGAGCCCACCCTAAGAACCACGTTTTTACTTGATTATCTGTGTAAAAACCTTATCTCCAAATAAGGTCATATTCTTTTTTTTTTAAGAGTTTGTTTATTTGACAAACAGAGATAACAAGTAGGCAGGGAGGCAGGCAGAGAGAGAGGAGAAAATAGGCTTCCTGCTGAGCAGAGAGCCAGATGTGGGGCTCGATCCCAGGACCCTGAGATCATGACCTGAGCTGAAAGCAGATGCTTAACCCACTGAGCCACCCAGCTGACCCCAAATAAGGCCATATTCTAAAGTACTAGGCATTATAACTGCAATATATCTTTTACGGGGGAACAGAGTTCAATTCACAATATCATCTGAACAGGAAAAGCTCTTACATCTCCTGGTCTTTTTGTTCATGCTATATTCCTAACATGAAGGCCCATTTTCCCTACTCAACCTCCTCAAAAATACCCTCTCTCCTATACCATCACTCTGCCTGAATCTTCTCTTACTACTCCTGAGCAAGGTGATCAGACTATCATTCTCTGGTCAGGGAGTCCACAGCCTCATGTTTCTCCTCACCCAAATCACTCAGCATCTCCAAAGTTCCCTACATGGTACAGAGGCTCTCAGATGGAGCAGAATGGCCAGTACAGAAAACGAATATGTGGATACAGGATGAGGCCTTGAAATGTGCTGGGAGTAGAAGTAAAAGCCAAGAAAACTACCTGTGCAGGATGTGGTGTTCTGTACACAAGATAATTAAATGCCACAAGCTATAACATCAATATTGATTATGGTAATAATAGAGGTTAGAGAAGTCACAAGGTTAAAAGATGTAAGAAAAAAAAGTAGCAGAAATTACAGTAGCTTTTATGAACATCTTAGCATTCATTAATTCTAAATTACCATACAGTGCAATATCATCATGTTTATCATTAAAAGTACTGGGCTATTTTTGTCAGAAGTTTTTTTTTCTGGTTTTAGAGATTATAATCTATAGCTATGGTTAGCATTTATATCTTATGCTCATGTAAAATGACTGTGAGCATAAAAAGACTAAAAGAATGAGAAGAATTGTTGCTTTAAGAAAGGGAGCCAGGGATGAGACAAACTACTCATCAGGACCTCCTTTCTTCTTCTACTTGGTATCCTTAGATACTTTGTACTTCTCACCCCTTCTTCACTGTGGATCAGTCCTGCTCTAGTTGTTGAGAACCTAGGTTGCCCCAGAAAAAAGTGAGCTAAGTAGGAGGACAGAAGTTCTCCCAACAGTCAGACCCTGTTATGAAGACCAGCTGGTGCTACTGCTTGTCAGTCTGGGGGAGTCACAGCAGGTGGAGAATTTGCTGCCAGCCTAACCTGAGATGCAGTGAAGCAGAGTCCCAGCAGGGCTCAGAACCTTCCCACCATCAGGAAACAGGCTGTTCCTTGGGAGGAAAGAGTACAACCCAGCACAAAAGCTACTTTGAAGAATCTCTTCTTAGCTTTTTGTTTATCCTTCCCACTTTTAGAGCTGCAGGCCTGAAGCTGTGCCATTTGAAGGAAGAAGTATATATAAATATAATTTGTGTTAATATAAGCCAGGGAAAAATGGAAATCACACCAGGCAAAGGACCTGGCTGCCAGTTAGTAGGCTTGATTTGTCTTAGCTTGTGAGTTCCTCTTCTACCCATAGCACTGAAATATTAAGAAAATGTTCAAAAGCTGAAAATAAAAGCTCTGGCATTTTAAGGGATGTTTGAACGATGTATTCTATTCCATTATTTTCTTTCCTTTCATTATAGTTTCCCTGACTTGAGACATAGTGTGAGCCTTAAAAAAACTGATGAATGAGAAAAAATGATTTAGGTAAACACAGAACTAAAATTAGCAGTGCTCATTGCAGTGAAAAATAGTGTAAAGCTTACACTCATTATTTCTCATTCTTCAAGCCTTCAATGAATCTTAAATATTTGAGAGAGTTTTTGGTACAATATAAAGGCATACAAAATTTCATAAAATTTTCTTCCTTTGCTCAAAACTTTTAGACACATTTCCCTTTCTAAAATAGGATTTTACAAATAGAAACAAATGAACAGAGAGGAAGGCAAACCACAAGAGACTCTTAACTATAGGGAAAAAACTAAGGTTGCTGGAGGGGGCTGGGAGGGATGAGGTAATTTGATGGATATTAAGGAGGGAACATGAACTAAAGTGCACTGGGTGTTGCATACAACTGATGAATCACGAATTCTACCTCTGAAACTAATAATATAGCATATGTTAATTAAATTGATTTAAATTTGAAAATTTTAAAAAGAAGCCAATGAAGTTAAACTATATCAAAATAATTTTTTAAAAACCCACATGTAGGGGCACCTGGGTGGCTCACTGGGTTAGGCCTCTGCCTTCAGCTCAGGTCATGATCTCAGGGTCCTGGGATCCAACCCTGCATCGCATCAGGCTCTCAGCTCAGTGGGGAGCCTGCTTCCCCCCTCTCTCTGCTTGCCTTTCTGCCTACTTGTGCTCTCTCTGTCAAATTAAAAAAAAAAAAAAAAAAAAAACATATAATAATTGTAAAGACTCTGTAAAAATTATAAAGAAGAAAATTATACCAGCAGGAATCAATGGTTTCACTATGTTAATGTATTTCCTTATAGTTTTTTCATACATAAACAGTATCTTTATAATTTCATATGTGTATACTCCTTTTTAAACATCTTTTGTGAAATATTGGGCATACAGAAGAATGCATAAAATGATTGTGCAGCTAACAAATAGATAAAGAGGAACAGCCTCATAACCACCATCCCGTGGGGGCACTCCTGGGATTGCAGAAGCCCACAATCAATGTCGCTTCATGCTGAGTCTTTGTACGAAGCAACCTTAGGTTATACTTTTATTACCCAGGTTTCCTGATGGCAGAAAGAAAAGAGCACTGATGTCAATACAAATATTCTATTCCCCATGAGATTTTTTCTCTTCTCCTTGTGAATTATTAAGTTATCATTTTAGTTTTAGATATCAGTGTTTTGAACTTGGTTTCTGAGACACTCTTCTGTGATATAGATCTGATGTTGGTGCTGCCAAAATCTCATTTCCAAGTCTGAAAGATAAAGACCACAAGTTGGCATGAGATAAAATCACAAAGTTAATTATGAGACTGATAGGACATGAGACCTGCTGGCATTCCCAGGGCAACACATGCTCTATCTTACCATTGGCTTAGTATGCACATGTTTTTTCCACAGACATTTTGCTATTTTAAGTTTGGAGCAGACGATTTGTCTAAAAATTTAAAAAGTTGCAAAAGAACAGCCTAAAGGAAAATATGATTGCCCAGCACTCTGCCCACCTGGTTAGTCTTTAATCTTAATTTCAAAAGTGTTTTTGAAGCTATGCTCCAAGCCTGTGACTGGGAGTTTACTACAGAGTCTATCTAGGACTCAGAGAGCTACGGAAGATATATAGTAGATGCACAAACAGCCTCTTCCTCCTTCTTTGCCCTGCTTTTTGGAAAGTTGGCTTCCTATTCCTATATCTAATCATCCAGATATGTCCGCTTGGTCTCCTACATGCTCAAAACAGCTGAACAGAGAGGTTATCAGGTTTCTTCTCAACAAAACAAGATCTCTTTAACTGAGGCTCTGGCCAAACTGAAAGGAGGGGAGGGAAGATAGAAAACTTACTGAAAGAAATAATAATAATTACATTACATTAAATAAGAAGAAAATTGAGATATAATGAAAACAACTTTCTTGTGTTTCCATTTCAATGGGGAAACATTTCCCCTGCCACTGAATTTAAAAAAAAAAAAAAATCACTATTTTTTGTGATTTTCTTTTTACTTTACATATAAAATAATTCTCTGGTCACCTGAAGGTATTACAGAAATGTAATCTCTTTAGTCTAAGATATTATACTTTAATGGTTATTGAAAGATAAGACACTCTTTTGGCCACCTAAGGCTTGTATTGGCAAGATGTCTGAGAACACTTATGTGTTAGGCTCTCTACTACATGATAAGGTACAAAATTAAGTATGGTATCTCCCTTTCCTTGGAAGCACATAACAGTCTTTGGTGGATGAAGGATGAATCAGTATGCGCATACATAATTAAACACAATCTATAAGCACTGTAAAAGGATAATGAACAGTATACTGTAGGAGCATCATAGAGAGAACAAATTGTTCTCAGGGTAGGGGTATCTTCAGTAACTTCTCCATAATTAAATCATTCTTAATTATATGTCTCCTTGGGCGCAGGCGCTGGGAGGATTCAGCTCCAGGTCCAGTGTGGGGGGTGTCCGAGCGGCTGGGGCGCGAGAGGAGTGGCCGGAACTGCTTGAATATCCACATTTCACTTTTCGTGCTTATCAAAAGTTTTAATTCATCATGGATAATCTGTCATCAGAAGAAATTCAACTGAGAGCCCACCAGGTTACTGATGAGTCTCTGGAAAGTACAAGGAGAATCCTGGGTTTAGCCCTTGAGTCTCAGGATGCAGGAATCAAGACTATCACTATGCTGGATGAACAAGGGGAACAACTAAACCGCATAGAGGAAGGCATGGACCAAATAAATAAAGACATGAGAGAGGCTGAGAAGACTTTAACGGAACTCAACAAGTGCTGTGGCCTCTGCGTCTGCCCATGTAATAGGACAAAGAACTTTGAGTCTGGTAAGGCCTACAAGGCAACATGGGGAGATGGTGGAGACAACTCTCCCAGCAATGTAGTATCTAAGCAGCCAGGCCGAGTGACAAACGGTCAGCCTCAACAAACAACCACTGGAGCAGCTAGCGGTGGATACATTAAACGTATAACTAATGATGCCAGAGAAGATGAGATGGAAGAGAACCTGACTCAAGTGGGCAGTATCCTAGGAAACCTAAAGAACATGGCCCTGGACATGGGCAATGAGATCGAGGCTCAAAACCGACAAATAGACAGGATCACAGAAAAGGCTGACACCAACAAAGATCGTATTGATGTTGCCAATGCCAGAGCAAAGAAACTCATTGACAGCTAACACTGCTGCTGTACTTCTTTATCGTGTATTCACTTCTCTAGCTCCTCCTTCAAAGTTATTACCTTTTCAGAGTTTAACATTTTGGTTCCATGCTCTTCTCAATCAGGAGATAATGTGCAAGAAGGGCCAGGAGTACAGACCCCCTATTCTTTTATGATCTCTTTCCCTTGAGGGTATACTACTGCTCAGACTTCCTTCTAGTATTTTTTGTCCCTTGGTTCATAGTCTTAGATTGGTTTTTATACATGATATAAAGTATCACTTTTCATCCTCCTCATTTACTTTAGCAGGTTCTTTTGCTTTCAAGATTTGGAAGCATTGCCAAAGACAGCCATGAAGAAGGAAGCTAGAGGCAGGGGGAGCGAGCACAAGGAGGAGAGGCAAGAGATAAGAGGTTGTTACCTCAGTAAAACCTGCAGGCCACAAAGCAAAAGTTGCATAGCCACAGTAAAGATCTAGTTGGGTTTAATTTTTCAATTTAAGTTGGAGTTATTGCCAGTTTAGGCTACTACTTGGTTTCGGAGCTTTTATACACAATATTTTTGTTATACGTCACAACTTGGCAACCTCTGCTCCAAAAAAAATAGAATGACTTTTTCAAAGTGGGCTTAGTTTCTGAACGTTTGGTGATTTATGTATGTACATAGACAGTGATCCCATTTCACACTGCACCATACGGGAACACTTTGTATAAATGAATGACTTTTTATTTTTACATTAGTAGTATCATGGTCCCATTACATGCCTATTAACCTCGTAAATTTGTTATTAGTCTTTGAGGAAAAAAATATGTAAATATGTATTGTAACACGAGAATTTCTCTCTAAAGCAGGACTTAAAATTTTTTTGGAAAAGTTTGACAAAATATATTACGTGAATTCAGATTTACCTCAATGTCAAGAATTATGTTTAGATAGGAAAAAAGAAACTTGTTTTGATCTCAGGTAGAAAAATAGTTAGATTGCCTTGAGTTTTTTATAGCTTTAGACTTTAAAAAAGCTAGACTTTATTCTGTTTAACTAAAAGTGATTTGGAAGATTATGCCTTTGGTTTAATTATTGATGATTGCACTATCATTCAGTTAGCCTTGTAGATTGAATTATGTCTAGAATCACATTTATTTAGATCCTGAACAGTGTTATAAGAATCTGATTGATATTTGTCACCTTTATTTAAGAAGTAGTATCTGCACACTTTGGAAGCTATTAATGTGGATCGGTTTGACCAATACCACTGCTTGATCTTTACAATTAAATTTTATAACTAAAAAAAAAAAAAAAAAAAAAAAAAATAATTTTTCTCGTAGAAACGAGGAAAAAAAGGCTTGTCCTACATATAGAAAAATCTAAATTAGAGTTTATTTGTAAAACAAGTGGAACTCTGTTATTTTTTTCAGATATACAGAAGTACATCGAAAGTTACAACGAAAGTCAAATCCTCAGTTAAATATTAAAACTTTATCCTTTTATTTCTTTATTTTTTTAAGATTTTATTTATTTATTTAAATAAATTTATTTGATTATTTATTTATTTATTATTTTATTATTATTTATTTATTTACAGAGAGATCACAAGTAGGCAAAGAGGCAGGCAGAGGGAGAAGGGGAAGCAGGCTCCCTGCTGAGCAGAGAGCCCAATGCAGGGCTCCATCCCCAGGACCCTGAGACCATGACCTGACCCAAAGGCAGAGGCTTAACACACTGAGCCACCCAGGTGCCCCCCTTTATCCTTTTAAGCTCAGTTTTTAAAGGAAGCTATGTGGTATAATGGAAATCATCTCCTGAGTCAGATCCTACTTAAAAGTCAACTTCTCTAGAATAATGCACACCCTGGCCCTATAGAGCTGTGCTCCTATACCAAGCACACTATGCTGCTTACCACATAGCATTGCAACTGCCTCTTCTGAGTTGCCTCACATATTACAATTTGAGATAACTAATGTGAGAAATTCTGACACAAATCCTTGTACATAGTAAGCATCTAGCAAGGAGCTTTTGAATACTGAATCTGCCAATGATTTACTTGTCTTTGCATATCTAAATACCACAGTTGCCTCAACTTTAATAAACTTTAATGAACCCCTGTTTAAAATGGTCTGTTAAAAAAGTTCAAAGACCAAAAAGAACTGGTAGAAAAAAATGTGAACATATTTCTGACACATGTGTCATCTCACTTTAAGTCCAGAAAATATGGTCACCAAATCTGTACATCAAATATTAACAACAATTTAACATTTTATTGATTTTCCCCTTAGAATTAACTAGCTCAAGTTCTAACATTTTTAGAAAATCCAAGTTAGCCTCAAATATCAATTATAAAATGTTTTGGGTGGGGTCTTATTTTGTGTTCTCTTCAAATTAAATGTACTAGCAATAAAATGGCAGAAGAGAACATATATTTTCAAAATTAGGTTCATTACCATGAAAATTTATTGGTTTAGAGTCCATATAAGTAGATTTCATAATGTAATCAATTTTTCCTGGAACATAGTGTTCCTTTCAATCTACAGAGGCAGTTTTCTGTTCAATTAAAGAAAAAGTCTTTCATAATATGCCTTGAATATATTCACTGTTCCAGTTGTTGAATTCTCTGCTTCAGGGACATCATTTATCCTTTTGTTGGATCATCTTTATCTCTCCTTTCTATTAATGAAGTTCTCTTTAATTGCTTTAATCTTCATGTGTTTTTCTTACCTTTATTTTCATTACCTTAAGTATTTTATTATAAAAAAAACTTTAAGTCATATCTTTTCTGCTTGCAATTTTTTTATTAGTTCTGGAATAGGATGTGACTCCTATTCTGGACAATCTTTTTTTATTCTGAGTCTGATTTATGCTCTTATCTTTGAAAATGTCTTGTTAAGTCCATATTCTTTGTAAATTCTTTAATAATAAGATACTTTCATGGAGATGTTTCTTCTTTTTGCTGGCTCTTACTTACTTTTCAAATAAATTTTTTAAATCCATTTCTTGGCTTCAGTGATGTTTTCTTTCTTTTTCCCCCACCTTGTCCACAATAGATTTACAATAATTTATTTATATATACCCCAGGCTGGGAAAATGGTTTTTGTTTTATTTGTATGTTGCTCATGCAAGGAGGGTGACTGAACAACTGAGTCAACATCTTTTGTTTGGTCTGCTAAGATCTGGATCAACTCTTTTTGACTTCCTTTCCACACTGAACTTTCAGTTTTATTTACTATAACATCAGGCCTTATTGCTTTGATTTGGAGAAAATTAAGTTTCAATTGGGGCTGTATTTTTTGTTAGCAAGACTGGGTTCTTCTCTGTCTTCAGAGATTCTGTCAAATATTCTTTGCCCCAGTTCTCTCTACCTAATCTTGAGTTTATCTTAATCCAGTGTGAATAATTTGAAATTCAAATAATTCCTCCAATTCAATATGAATCTCTAGAAACTTAGCTCCATCAAGTCAGCCTGAATTTTTCCCTGACCGCGTTTCACTTTTACTCTTCCATCAGCCGCTCCTATTCTCCAAAAGGAAGAGAGGACATTGGGGTTTGCAGGGGGTGGAGTTGTGTTGTCTTTTGGCCCCTGCATTACAAGTCTATGGTTTGGTGAAGGGAATTTACCAGCTAGCTCTAAGCTCTAAGCTCATCTTTTCCCTGCCTCCCTCAGAAGATCTAGTCTTAGATCTCCTTTTCTCCCTTATTTCTATTTATTCCTATGTTAATAGATATTAAGTATTTTTAGGATCCTTTTATCTTTTTTCTTACTCTTTCATCCCCAACAGCAGGCTCCAAATATCAACTTTTTTCCCTGACCCTGAAGGGCAAATAGAAAGGCAGAAAAGAGGTTTTTAATTTCAAGTATGGTTCTACATCTTCCATGGCTGCCCACATCTTCTCTCTTTCTCTGCTTCTGCCACTACTACATGAAGAGGCATTGGATTTTTCAGGATTTTGTTTAGGCATAGCCCTTTCCTCACTTCCATCTTGCTTGACCTTCACTTCCAATACTCCTGCATGAGAAAGTCAGAAGCTGCTCTAAGCAATGCCATCCTAACTTGTGGAAACTTCACTTCTTCCTTCACTAGCCACAAGCCCTTTGTTTGCATTGTTAATTCATGCCAACATTTTTATGCCAAAGTCTTTATTTTTCCTAATTTTTTAGTTATACCAGTACATTTCAGTGGAAGAGAGGTTTTTTTGTTTTTATTGTTTTTTTTTTTTTAGTGAGGAAATCATTCTTGAGAGTCTCCTATGTATAAATGTCATACAAAATGGCTCCATAAGTGAAATAGATGTTTTTATTTTCTTCATTTTTATTTTAATTCCAGTTAGTTAACAGACAGTGTAATATTAGTTTCAGGTGCAAAATATAGTAATTCAACACTTCCGTACATCACTCAGTGTTCATCACAACTGCACTCCTTAATTTCCATCACCTATTTCATCCATCCCACCACCCGCAACCTCTCTGGTAATCATCAGATAGTTCTCTATAATTGAAAGTCTGTTTCTTGCTTTGACTCTCTCTCTTGTTTTTTTCCTTTGCTCGTTTGTTTTGTTTCTTAAATTCCATGTATGAGTGGAATTATATGATATTTGTCTTTCTCTATCTGACTTATTTCACTTAGCATTATACTCTCTAGCTCCATCCACATCATTGCAAATGGCAAGATTTCATTCTTTTTATGGCTGATATATATATATATATATATATATATATATATATATATATAACTTATGGATGATATACATATATCACTTCTTTATCCACTCATTAATCGATGGACACAGGGACTAGTTCCATATCTTGGCTATTGTACATAAAGCTGCTACAAACACAGGGGTGCATATATCCCTTTGACTTAGTGTTTTTATATTCTTTGGGTAAATACCCAGTACTGCAATTACTAGATTGTAAGGTAGTTCTATTTTTAACTTGCTGAGGAACCTCCACACTGTTTTCCACAATGGCTGCATCAGCTTGCCTTCCCATCAACAAGTGTTCCTTTCTCTCTACATCCTTGTTGACACCTGCCTTTTCTTATTTTTTATTTTAGCCATTCTCACAGGTATGAAGTGATATCTCATAGTTTTGATTGGCATTTCCCTGATGATGAGTGATGATGAGCATATTTTCACATGTCTGTTGGCTATCTGGATGTCTTCTTTGGAGAAATGTCTGTTCATGTCTTCTGCCCATTTTTTAATTTGGTTATTTTTTGGAGTTTTGTAAGTTCTTTATGTATTTTGGATAGTACCCCTTTATTGGATACGTCATTTGCAAATATCTTCTCCCATTCAGTAAGTCACCTTTTGGTTTTGTTGATTGTTTTCTTAATTGTGCAAAAGCTTCTTATTTTGATGTAGTCCCAATAGTTTACTTATGCTTTGGTCTCCCTTGCCTCAAGAGAAATATCTAGAAAAAGTTGCTATGACTAATGTCAAAAAAGTTACTGCTGTGTTCTCTTCTAGAATTTTTATGGTTTTAGGTCTCAAATTTAGGTTTTTAATTCATTTTGAATTCATTTTTTGTATGGTATAAGAAAGTGGTCCAGTTTCATTCTTTTGCATATTGCTGTCCAATTTCCCCAACACTATTTGATGAAGATACTGGCTTTTTTCCATTCCATATTCTTTTCTGCCTTGTCAAGATTAGTTGGCCATATCGTTGTGGGTTTATTTCTGGATTTTTCTATTCTGTTCCATTGATCTATGCATCT